ATCTCTGGTTTTGGTTCATAACGGATGCCACTTTTCTGGGAAAACCCAAAGCGCTCCTTAGAATTTCTCTGAGACCAGAGTGAAGCACATGGTAAACAATGAACACACAGCTCAGCGAGTACACTCCCTGTGTTGGACTTCCCTGGGGAATACCCCCTCTCATCAGCCCAGGCCCAGCCATGCCTCTCTCTAGCTACACCATGGCAGCAACGGTGCCAATCCTGGCCTCAGTTTCCCCACCTACTACTTGAACAGCAGGCTGCAATCCACACTTCTAGCATCTCACAGAAGGAATCCCAGATTGTTACGCCAGTTAGATGGACAAAGCAGTGGGTTAACCTGCCCACAAAAGGGGCAACTAGGATTGGGGAAATGACTCAGTTGGTAGACTGTTTGCTTGACATATGTAAAGGGTAGGATTCAATCCCTGGTGCTACATGAACCAGGTATGGTAGTGCACGCCTGAGATCCCAGCAGGAGGACGATCAGAAGTTCAAGGCCATCCTAAGTTTTGTGGTGCATTCAAGGCCAGTCTGGGCTACCCATGAGACCCTGACTCAAAACAAGCAAAACACTTCCTTTCTTTGCACTGTACTTCAGGGTTATGAAGGAAAATTAGAGGGGGGGTAGGGAGAAGGCTGAAAAGCCTTTCTGTAGGAAATACTTCCGTTTTAGTCTATGTGAGCTGGAGAGCATCAGAGAAACCCCAGGACCCCAGACACATGGGGTTGCAGAAGAAATGCTGGCTATCTGAGCCTTATCTGGGGAACATTCCAGAGTCAGCGCCCTCCCCAAACATTCCCTCTGGTTGCAAGCAGGCAGTAGGTTAAGGGATGACCTGTCTGCAGGGCGAGGCTGGGGAGCAGTCGGTGCAACTGGAGTCAGGAGGGCAATGAACTGGCAAAGGCAGGGGAAGGAAAGGCAGGTTTCCTGGCTGAGTCTCCCATGAGTCTGTCCCTTCTTCAAAAGACAATGACACAGCTAGCTAGGTTCTGTGTGACAAAGACATGTCATTGCTTTCCTTGGAACTTTGGGGTCTTCGTCTACAAAATGGGAAGATAAGGACCCAACACGCTATCAATTCCACTCAGTATGACTGTCTGTCTCTAACAGCAAACTCATTCTCCTTGGTCCCAGGGACAGGTTAGGGACTAGGCTCGGGCTGCTAGGGTACTGTCCACTGGTCCAGTATGATTAACGGTGAGAGAGGCCTTCTCAAGGGTCAGTGCCACCCGCTTCAGTCTGTAGTCCAGAGAAGGGCTAGGGAGCCCTGTCTCCAGCAAGGTTACCGGAAGCCACCCTGCCTCCCAGAGCTCTGGACCCTGGGCAATGGACCATCCCCCAACCCCAACCCCCAGCAGGAGTGAAGGAAGGCTGATTCTAAAACCTACTAGGGCATGCCCTGGGGGTCCACCATCTAGGTGGGGCTAGCCTCCTCACATTTGGAAAGAGGAAAGCATACTGAGCAACTCTTGAATAAAACAAAAAATGGAAGGAAGGGGCACTTTTGGTGAAGGCTGAAAACACGGCTGGCCACCATCTTCGCCTGCAGCTCTCCAATCCTGGGGAAACCTCATGACCCCTACTTCCCCCCTCATGGAGAGCCCTTTCTGAATCAAAGCTTCAGATCCCAGCTCCATTCATCCGGATCCAAGGCGCCCTCCTCCCCTCTTCCCCGACCTCCCTTCCCTGAACTCCCACTGTGCTTTGCCTGTCTCTCTCGATGGTAATTTGCACATTGTGTCACACTGACAGCTGCACACCTTCATCCCGCTCTGGAGGACACAGGGATGACAGTCACTTTTAAAAAGGCTCTGAAGCCCAGCAGATATGAACTTAAACAACAGCTTGTGAATTCTCAACCCTGTGTGACCTTGGGCCAGCCACTCTTCTCTCTAAGCACGTTGCTGCTGGCAAATGGGGCAATAACAGTACCTCCTCTACTGATTGGCTGGTGTAATTTAATGAGATAATATGTCTAGTGCAGAATCTCGAAGAAAGCAAAGCCTATTGACGAAGCCTTGGTTTGAGAGCCCTTTTAGGCAGGTTCGTGGATGGTTTGTCTTCATTTCTGAAACTCCTGGTCCAGAGCTGCATGCTAGACAGACAGATAGGAATAGAGACAGACAGTGGACCTCAGCAGGAAGTCAAAACAGTGCAGCTTGGGTCTGGGTTGTCTCTGCAGGTCGTGAACTGTGCCACTAAGCAGATGCCCAGTGGCGTGGTGGCATGGCCTACCAAGTAGAATAACGGGAAGGTGGGCTGTGAGTCCCAGGGTTCAAGGGCCTGAATCCCGGGGTGTGGACTTAGCTGCAGCTCTGCTTCTGCACCTGTACAATGAGCTGATGACAGTGCCCACCAAAGGCTGTCTCAAGGATAAAGCATGCCACGCATGGGGCCCGAAAGCATGGCAGGCCTCTATTACTAAGCTGTATTATTGGGCGTTTGCTTCCCTCAAGGCTTTATGCCTAACGTATTCCCTCATTTAATTACACCAGCAGATCAGTAGAGGAGGTACCATCATTGCCCCATTTGCTGCCAGAAATAAGCTCAGAGAGGGGAATGGCTGACCCAAGGTCTCTTGCAGAGGATAATGCAGTCATTAAACTATTGTTATCACTGTGGATGTTCTACACCCAACATAGAAGGGGGCATTTTTTACCCCCTGCAGGCTATGAACTGTTCATTCTCCTACAACCAGGACTCCACAAAAACCCCAGGTTGGTCCAGGGCTGTCTGCCCAGCAGTCACCATGACCTTGGCCTAGTGATAGCCTCACCCTCCATTAGGCACGTGGGCAGGAACCTGTGCCAAGCAACCCACAATGTCTTACAAGGATGGGACAAATTAAGAGTCTTTCTCTTGACAGATAAACCCTAGAAGAAAAAAAGTCCTTTATGTTCGAACAACAAAACTGAGGCAGAGGACATCTCAAAGGGAAGAGACAAACCAAACCGTAGTGGGAGAAAGACAGGGGGTCTGTGGTGAGTGAGCCTGATTCTTCGCCCTTCGGTCCTATGGTCTGCCACAGGTCAGTCTGGGGCAGGAGTGGGTCTGTGCCGCCCCTGCACATTTGGCCCAGCCTCTCCCACTGGGAACAACTTCAACAGTTCCGATATGCTCATCCACATTGTATGCAAGGTGGAGCTGAGGCCCAGAATGGAAAAGTAGCAGGGTCAAGGCCTTGGAGAAAGAATATGGGACTAACTTGTGGGCTAGCAGGCTGCCTCTCACATTCCTTGGCTCCCTTAGTAAACAGATGGTGGCTAATACCTATGGCCTCTTCCTTCTCTACAGAGTCCTACAGAGTCACCTCTGAAGCTGGCTCCTAGGAGGGCTTGAAGAACGTGAAGAATAAATGCTTAAATGGATGGATCTCTGCCTCCCCTTGCTGCGCCCCTACCTCCCCATACGAACGGGGAGCTTGCCCAAATGTCAGGGAACTGCTGGGCAGCCTCCCTCCTGGGGACTCCTAATCCACCTCCCTGTCCTGACTGCCCTCTGGTTGCGGACAGTGAATTCCTTGTTCCCAGTGCTTCCTGCCCAAAGATCTCTGTGGGGCCCGAGTGCTGGCAGGAAGGAACCAAATCGCTCCTCTCACATGAAGCTAAAGCACCCCTGCCCCCACTACTCAGGGATAACACACTCCAGCTCTGTTAGCCATCCATCCTACCTGCCCCAGCCCGGTTCAACACCACAGCCAACCCCTCCCCCACAGACCCTGCTTGTGTAAACACACACACACACACACACACACACACACACAAAACGAAACTAGAAGAGTCCAGAGTAACGTTACAACCCCAGCAGTCTTGCCTAACAACCCCACAGTGATATCTGCATGTGCCTTTGCAATTTCTCAATGTAGGTCACTAGCTTTTGCTCTCTCTGTCACTTCACCCCGCTGTGAGCCAGTAGCATTTTGTTTTCTCTTTTCTGTTTTTTTTATTTTGCTTTATCTTGTTGTTGTGAGTTCAGCCTTCTTGTGTAGCCCTTTATGCCTGGAACAGTAGTCCCTCAGCCTTCTTAGTGGAGGATTACAGGCATGTGTCACTGTGCCTGGCTGAGCCAATGGTTTTCAAAGTGTCTAACCTAAGGCCAAAGAAAGGTCTGTAGTATTGCCTGTCCTGAAGAATTAGCCAATCAGAGACTCTAGCCTTACCTCATCTTCAATAGGGGCTGATGTTACAGTAGAAGCTTCACCCCAGCCCCTGGCATCCATCTACTCCAAGAGTCTGGGACATTATGGTGGAGTTTCCACCCAACCCCCATCTCCCTCCAAACACTGCTACAGCTCAGAAAGCCAGACAAATAATGACCCCCCCCAAGAGATGCCCAAAGGGTATTTAAACTGCCCCCCAAAAAACAGACTGGTGGTTTTCCAGTCTCTCCTTCACGCGGAGCATTGTATCCATTAAATGTGGGCTTTTTCTAATTTGGTTTGATTTGGATTGCTGCATCGGCGGAGAGATTTATCGGCGTGTAGAAACTTTTCAGCTACAACCCACTTAGCTAGCTTATATGTTGAAATTCTTTGAAGTTCATTTCTAACAAATATGTCTGTCCCTAAAACACCTGTCTTTAAAAGAGAGAGAGAGAATTTTCCTGCCAGAAATTTCAACAGATCTAGGTTCCCCCAGAACATGGATACAAGATTCTAGGAGCAACAGAACAGGAGGCCCCATCGTGCCCGGGAGAGGCTGAGTAAAAGAAAGCAAAGGCCCAGGGCCCACAGATCCAGCTAGATCCAGCTTCCAGTCTGCTGTCTCCATCCTTGGTGGGCAAGTGGCTCAGACAGACTGTCCACAGCAACATCGTGCTCCTCGAAGCGTGATGTGACACTTCAGCCTCTTCCATAGGGGCAGCCTCGGTACTGTTCCTTTTGTCAGCCTCAGCAGAGGCCTAGACAAACCCTCATGCTGCCTCAGCGTTAACAGAACAATCAAGAACCACTGGGCCCAACCTCAGCTGAAGCAGGAGACAGCCTCTGGGGCACTCACCCCTCCTCTGCACACTGGCTCCCTGGGAAAGGCGTCCTCAGCCAGGCACCTGGAATGAGAAGAGAGTATTAGCCTCTCTGGCATGTGAGGCTGGCACAGGAAGGTCTGAGGAACCTGGGAAGTTGTTGAACCTGTTAAACAGAAAGGCCAGAGAGCCACATAGTGCCAGAGGGCAGGTGGAGGCTATCAGGAGGATGAGTCTTCAATCTAAGGCCACTGTGAAGCCACAAGCTGGAGAAGTGACTGGAAAGAAGTAAATAAATAAATAAATAAATAAATAAAAACTGTGGGAGAATTAATAAGAAGGAAGGAACCTAGGCTGAGCAGCCAGGGAGGAGACAAAGCAGATGGACTCAAGTGACACTTAAAGGTGGGAGGTGGGACCCATAGACATCACAGTGCACTGGGTAGAAGTAGAGGGCGGATAGCAGGGCCCCTCTCCGCAGGGCCTTCCTTCACATCAGTCCAGTGGTTTCCAGCACCACCCATCACTGTCTCCACCTGAATGTTCTGCCTCAGTGTGGTTTGGCTTAGGCATCTCTCAGGTATAACTCCGTCCATCATGGAGGTCTTAAGTCCCTTTGTTTCTTCTTTGAGCTCCATGGCAGACCTGGCCTGGCACACAATGGGCAGTGTAGCCGGGAGGGAAGACTGGAGTCCTTATGCACTCAGAAGCGCCAACCTCCATGTTTCTTTGTCATAGGGGACATGACGATCAAGTGCCCAGGAAGGAGGAAAATACACAATGGTTTGTGAATTTGGGCCTGGCTTGTCACTTCCCTCCTAATCTAGAGAAAGTGTGGGCTGTGGCAACAGCTTCTAGAGCCAGTAGAGGGTTAGAGGAGATGATCTTATGGAGAGGTCCATCCTTCAGAGAGGACGGGACCCTGTATACACATGAAAACCCTGAGCTCCAGGGAATGAACACCAAAGGCCACAACAGTGAGTGGCAGAGATGAGACACACTCACCCTCACTAGCCACTAGGATGCAGGACACGCGTGGTGGTTGGGGGGGGGTGGGAGTGGTGGAGTGATGGCAGTCACTTTATAGACCAGGCTGGCCTTGAACTCACAGATACCCACCTGCCTCTGACTCCCCAATATTAAAGGTGTGCCCCACAACATGGAGTTTGGATCCAGGTCCTTAACTACTATGTTGTCTGTACACTATTTGGGTTTTTTTCCTTCCTTTCTTCCTTCCTTTCTACTTATTTTTGTTACATATACAGGGTTCTGTCTGCATATTTGTCTGCATGCCAGAAGAGGGAACCAGATCTCATGATAGATGGTTGTGAGCCACCATCGGGATTGAATTCATGACCTCTGGAAGAGTAGTCAGTGTTCTTAACCTCTAAGCCATCTCTCCAGCCCCAGGTTTTGAGAGACAGAGTTTCTCTGTGCAGCCCTGACTATCCTAGAACTCACTCTGTAGAGCAGGCTGGCCTCAACTCAAAGACCCGCCTGCCTCTGCCTCCCGAGTGCTGGGATCAAAGGTGTGCGCCCCCCACTGTCTGGCTGTCTGTGCACTGTTTTGATTGCTGCTTTTTGGATAAGGACAGTGAGGCTAAAATATTTACACTTACGGTCAGAGGGAAAACAAACTGCGGGAGGGGAATTTGACCAGATGCCTTGCTGAGAAGGCCTGAGGTCTCCCTGTGCTATCCAGAAAGTAGATGGTTACACAGAGGCTCTGGTTTCAGGCCTTGGAATGGGAAGAGATGACATTCTAATGTGTCCAATTCAACCCTGGTTATAACAACACTGTCCAGTAGAAATATGACCTAAAGCAGGCACAGTGACAGGCGCCTGTCATCGCAGCTACTGAGGAGCCTCAGGCAGGAGGATCGATAGTACTTAGTAGTTTTATGTCAACTTGACACAAACTACAATTATCTGAAAAGGAGGGAACCTCAATTAAGAAAGTGCCTCTACAGCAGGGCATGGTAGTGCCTGCCTTTAATCCCAGCACTCTGGAGGCAGAGGTAGGTGAATCGCCATGAGTTCAGAGTTCCAGGACAGCCTGATCTACAAAGCAAGTTCTAGGACAGCCAACGCTGTTAACAGAGAAAAACTTTTGAAAAAAAAAACTAGAAGTGCCTCTATATGAGTAGGCTCTAGGCAAGCCTGTAGAGCATTTTCTTGATTAGTGATTGATGGGGGAGCGTCTAACCCATTGTGAATGGTGTCATCCCCGGGCTAGTGGCTCTGGGTTCTATAAGAAATCAGGCTGATGCCTCAATGAGATGATGGGAAAGACTTAGTAGACTTCCTAGGGGAGGCCTTACTCTTTCTGAGAAGCAGATGGGAGGTGGGGAGGAAATGGGAGGAGAGGAGGGAGGGGGGACTGGGATTGGAATGTAAAAAATAAATTGATAAAAAAATTATTAAAGAAAATCAGGCTGAACAATCCATGAGGAGCAAGCCAATAAGCAGCACCCTTCCATGGCCTCTGCACCAGTTTCTGCTTCAAGGTTCTGGCCCTGTTTGAGTTCTAGTCCTGACTTCCTTCCATGAAGAACAGTGATGTGGAAGTGTGAGCCTAATACACACTTTCCTCTCCACAGTGCTTTTTTGGTCATGGTGTTTCATCACAGCCATAGAAACCCAAACTAAGACAAGAGACACATCAATTAAAAGTAAAATGCAAGCTATACATGAAATATAAAAAAAGATTAACTACATTTTAAGAAAGGACAAAGGAATGGGTTAAATTTAACGCTTTAACCCAATATGCAAATTTGAACATGTAATCAATATATACTATTTAGACATCTCCTTTTTTCATGCTAAGTCTTCTAAATCCTGTGGTTATTTTCAGATACTTAAAAATTGAAAAAAATACATTCACAAATCTAGCTTCCCAAACATTCATATAAGTTTGTCTACAGCTAAGTCGAGTATTGCTTTAAATGTCCAATTGATTACAATGAACTAATTAACAGAATTGGAAATTCAGTTCCGGCCTCACTAGCCACATTTGGAATGCCCAGCCATCACTTGGTTGGATCCAGCACTCTACAGCAGGTCCTTGGGGTGTAAGGTGCTGACCTCCTCAGGTCTGGCCCAGAGCTAAGCTTCAGAAGCACGGAAAAGGATGGTGTCTACTCATTTCACAATGCCATGCTGAGCCCAGTTTACTATCCATCTCAGGTGCCTGTTATATTCACAGTGTTGGTGGCAGAGGGACCAGAGTTCAGAGGATGGCAATGTGACCTACGCAGTGGCCCATTTGCCTAAGATCGCCAGCTTTGACAGGGCCCGATGACCTAGAAGTGTGAGCCGACCTGTCCCTAAAAATGTGACAGGGGCCTGCCCCAGGCTCGGCTTCTAGAGAAGAAATGTCTCTGCTTTTTTCTCAAGGAGGCCTGCTCCTAAAGTGTAGGAAGGGCCTGGAACAAGAAACCCAGTGAAGAGGCTAGAGGGGGAGGTGAGCAGAAGTATCACCGCTTTCTATAGTGTAGAGGGTTTGGCCGCTGCCACCTCCTCCTTGTCTCTCCTCACCAACGCCCAGCAGCAGTATCCTGACTTCCTGCATTCTGGGTGGGTCCTCTGGGCGAGCACCCTCGAATCACCCAGCCTTCCCAAGAGTGCACAGCAGAGGCCCTTGGACTAGGGCCAGGGCTCATACTTACCTCCCAGGCTCACCTCTGTGGAGGCAGGGGTAAGGGTCCAAGTGGCAGGCTGGCCCCCTGGGGAGGAGAGGGCCCTGGAAGACAGACCTCACAGTAGGGAAGAGGTGGCAGGCATAGGCCAGAAAAATCTGGGTCCAGGCTCCACCCCTCCCTAGGTGAACAAGGCCAGCACAGCCCCCTCCAGCCAGCCCAGCAGGGTGAAACTCAGCAGCCATTAGGTTTAACAATTAACTCAATTCAGCAGAAGTTAAATCTTGCAAAAAGTCCTACCTGTAGGTAAGGGGACTTACAAGATTTGAGGCTGAGAAGGGAGGGGGGTGGGGGGGAGCTTGTCTCTGCTAATGTGATTTAATTTCCCTCCTTGAAGTTAAAGGCAATGCCTGATGCATAAGAGGTGGTTAATCAATAAATACTTTTCATAAGCAAATAAAGAGTAGAAGTAAGCTGGAATAAAAAAGGTCTGGCTAGGTGGGCAAACTGACAGAAGGGATCAGGAAGAACTATCTTAGACTAGGTACTACTTGACCCCTTTGACATCACAAAGCCTAAGACAACAGCCATGGAGGGCATGCCAAGAACATGGCTTTGAAGTCTCCAGCCCTAAAGGCCACTCCTGATCTAGAATTCCTACCATGACCTTGGGAGCCCTGATTTCTAAGTAACACGGGTGAGATCCCACCAGGACCCAGCTGGAGAGGGCCAGGCCCACAGTGATAGCCTATCTGCTGTTTTCCCCTTTCTCTGTTGCTTGGCAACAGCCTCCTCCTCTTCTAAGGCCACCCTCTGACTTCCCCCACATCTCAACATGCCTCCAGCCCCCACCTCCCCAGCCCTTTCTCCTTTTCTGGAAGGAAGGCCTGGAGTGATAAAGGCTCCAGTGCAGCACCTCCCACTCACCTGGATCCCACACCCCTGGCAACAGATGGCTGCCAACCTGACACTGGATTAGCACTTCCAACCCTTGGATTCCCTGTCACCAGCTCACCTTTCTCCCAAGCTCTAACTAACACAGATATAGGTCCACAGCCCACCACAGGCTCAGGGGCCAGTTCCCGCAAGGCTCTCAGGCAGTGGGCCTCTGTTCCCAGCTGTCTACTGGGGGGTTGGGTGGGTAGATCTTTTTCTTTGCTGGTTTTCTCATCTTTAGGGATCCTGCCATTTCTGGGGTCACTGTTCACTTTAAATTCAGACAGTTCGAGCTTCATACCCTGACCTGGGCCAGGTACATAGACAGCTCTGCAAAGGCCTAGAACTGAAGACCACTTCAAGGCATCCTTAGCACCAGCCTGCATAGAAAAGAACTAAACATCTACAGCCACTTGTGCTGAGCAACCTTCACTGGCTTCCCATTACCACCAACAAAGGGTTCCCCTCCCAGTCGCACTTCCCAAACCCCCATCCCCCACCCGTGGCTCT